TGCAAAAACATTTCAAGAATGTGATTATGACGTCACGCTTCACAGTCTAGACATTCCTCTAACCAGATCAAACTGGATTTTTTTTTTACTGAAAACACTAACACACAAGAATAAGAACACAGATTTTTGATTTTTTTCATTCTTTATTTGTAACAACAAACAACAACAAACAACGTATTTACAATACATTTTGATAAAAACATTGACACTTTTGTCCATGACCCGTAGGTAATTTATGATAAGTGTTTTTAAACCAATTTGCCACGTATCTGTCCCTTTGTAAAGCCGTACTCTGGTCAAAAGGGAATAGCCATTCGTCAGTTTTCTTTCTTTTCTTGTCTCTTTGATGTAAATAATACACGCAATATTGTCCACACACATCGGTATTCCAGTCTTGATAGCGATACGGATTATAAATCCATTGCTGAGCATGACGCTGGATAAAATCTTGAATTTCTTTTTGTAAGGGAGGAAATCCATAAGAATCGAAATATTCCACCACGGGATTACTCACATACAGACACACCCAATGTGCTCCAGGTCGATCTTGAGGATCCGTATTGACCACCACAGCTTTTTCTCCAGGTCTTAATTGATCCGGTAATAAATCTACAGGATACACCCCTCCAAAAGAACTCTTGAATTCTCTGGATAAGACTTCTCTCAATTGTCCCGTATCCATTAGTAATCAATGCTCACTTCTCTCTGTTTGTTAATTTCTAATAGGTTATCGAATTCTGCATACACCACACAGTTTAAGTTAGTGGCCGTATTGTTGGTAAACTGCACTTCTACTCTCAGATTTCCTGTTTCTATGATGTGGAATTTATCCGATTGCGCTTCTTGATCTTTAGTGAAATCCCAGCCCCATAGAGTGTACCCGCTTTTATACTCTTCTAAGGTGATGTCTGGAGCCCAATCTTCTCCTAATTTTCCCAGAGCTTGATACAGACTGAGATAAGATCTCAGATATAAATCGTCGTCGAAATTAGGCTCAAAACAACGAGTACTCATGGTCTCTCCGTTGATACTGACATCTAATTTCTTGATCCCAAAGTTTTGGAAATGAAAGGGATTTTTAGTTTGATCTCCGTTAAAGGCTGCATTCTCCACAAAGCCTAAAATGAGCCGTTTAGGCATCTGGCCTTGAAACAGATGATCCGTAATCTTAGACTGAGTTCCTGTGGGGATGGTAAAGGTTTTCGCTTCCACTCTTCTCAAGGGATATTTGGCTCTGTGGGTATTCAAACTCTGATTAATGGCATTCATCATGACTGGTGTGGGTTTGACTTTTCTCACCCACAAGACCATACTCAAAATTTTCACTTTTCCTGTACTTCCTCCTTTGATCATCATGTAGAAAGCAGGTCTAGCTCGATTAAATCGCAAACGGACGTCCACTCCATTAGGTAGAAATCGATCTTGTTGAAACAAATCCAGATGTAAACGATCCAGCAAACTGATTTTCTTACTGTCAGCAATAGCTTGGTGTCTTTTTCGGAATCCTTCGTTTTTAGAATTGACTGGTAACGCTGTGAGGATGGGTTCGTCAATGGTCACCGTGTCTTTACTTGAACCTTTAGTTACATCAAAGGTCTTATTTTGAGATACACCAAGAGCCTCTAACCCCACTTCGTCCATGTGTCCTGCCGTATCTTTTTCCCACAGCCTACAGGCCCTCGCCTGTGTCTTTAATGTTCTGGGTCGGTAAGACAATAATTTCTCCAGATAAGCTTTGTAAGGATAAGTATCCGTGCCCGGGGTCACTATTTTTCCATTCAGACTGACATCGATTTCCGTAAACATGGAATGTAAGATATTATTCACTGGACTCGAAGTGCTGTTCGCCCCAGTCAGATTACTTCCATCGTCTTTGGTAAATTTACATACCATTTGAACATAGGTTTGGGATAAATCCAGATAGTGATCTCCTTGTCCTTTAATTTCAAATTCGATGGGAGCGGTGTCGGAATCTAAAGTACTGGAAATAGGGTAATATTCTTCCCATTTCGAGTCTTCTAAAGCAATATTAGTCGGAGGGACTTCAAACAATTGTAAATTGTTCATCCCACACGCACAGGAATCGGGTTGTAACATGATGTGTCTACTAGGATTCAGTTTTCACAAATGAACCTTCTGTTCACTGGACTGGCCTATTTATACTCTCTCTCTCTCTCTCTCTCAGTCAAACACATCTAAATGACGTTTTCTTTTAGGAATTCCTCCTCCTTGTGTTTTCCTTTTTCTCTTAGGACCTCCTCGGGCTAACATAGGGGTCTTTTTTCTTCTGTTGTTAGTACCTCCTAGATTCATTCTTTGTTTCACCATTCCCGAAGTATTTTTTAGAGCTTGTACTCCGTGAGTTTTGACTGCGTCTTTTAAAGATCTCTTATTTTCTAATACGTCTTATCCCGTTCTAGCAGCAGCAGTTAAGGCGTGTTTAGCTCCCGTTTTCAGTAAATCAGTAAAAAATCCTCGGCCTCTCTGTCGTCTTCTTTTTCTTCTTGTTATTTTAATCACCATTCCCGATCCCCTCTGTTTTTTCATTCTTTTTCTTCTTCTGTTGTTAGTACCTCCTAGATTCATTCTTTGTTTCACCATTCCCGAAGTATTTTTTAGAGCTTGTACTCCGTGAGTTTTGACTGCGTCTTTTAAAGATCTCTTATTTTCTAATACGTCTAATCCCGTTCTAGCAGCAGCAGTCAAGGCGTGTTTAGCTCCGGTTTTCAGTAAATCAGTAAAGAATCCTTCCCCTCTTTGATAGTTTTGGGGTGGATAATAGCCTGGTGGTGGTGGTGGTGGGGCTTGCTGTTGACCCAATAATCCTCCTACTAGATTGCTGACTAAAGGAGCTGCTACTTTAAATAGGGATCCTAAAAAACCGTGTCCTTTTTGACGTAATAACCCTTTATGATAGACAAACTGTCCGTGTCCTCTTTGTCTCAGTAATCCTGGATGATACTGCATGGTTCATGTCTCTTGTTCAACTGACCTTTATATCCTCGGGGGACTTCCTTTTATACCCTTTACGGCTGAATACAATACAGACAGCAGACCAGACAAGCCACCACACCCAATAAGATGGAACACAATAACGGTACACTCATCTCAGTAGACTTTTCTGAAATGAAGTTTCACCACTGATTTGCCACTTACAAAGGGCATGGGTTGTCCTAAAGGAGTCATGATGTGAATCTCAATGGTATCGAAATGTTTTTTACTTAGTTTCAAATATTCCGCTCGAATGGGTTCCCATTTGGCTTGTTTTGAATCCTCCAAATGAAACGTACAAGGCACCACTCTTAATAATTTCAAGGCATTGGAGCCTACCGTCTGGGGTTGAATCAAGTCACAATAGACATACATGGATTTCAGATTTTCATATAAATCCACAGTATTGTTTCCCAAGTAACTAATGTTGATCCATTTGGTCATGTTTTCTGTATCGTTCTGAAGAATGACTTTCTGACTGTCCATGCCTAGCTTATAAGCTAGGGATGTGGGGAAACGAATGCATAAGGGAGTAAGCATTTTTTCATTGATTTCATACATCACTCGATCATAGGTCTCGTAATATACTAATTTCATAGATTTGTCTTCATTTCCATCACTAAGGGTTTTCCATAATTTTTTCAATGATCTCTGTAGTCCTAGACTTATTTCCTCTGTTAAAGCCTTGGGGTGAACATAAGGCCCGGATCTGAAGTGAATTCTTCTAATTTCCATCTTACTATCTAGTTCAACGAGTGCAGGCCGTTTAGTATGGGCCCAATCGAGCAGTACAGGACATTGACGTAATGGCATTGGGTCTAAGTTTTCATTTTAAATCTGCCATAAACATTGGGGTTTTTGATATGGTGAGCAAAAGACTGAGGAACCAGGATGTCAAAATAAGCTTCCTCTTCTGTAATGTTTTTCAATGAATTGGGATACATCATTTCTGTTAAAGCCACTTCCCATTCTCCGTCGGTTAAATCCACTGTTTGTGGTAATAAGGTTTTAAATTAAGCGGTCGTATTGCTAGAAAAAGAGGTCATAGACCCATCACTGGGTAAAGTCATGTAAAACCCACTGCTCTCGGCCATGTTCAATTTAAGACTGAGACCCTAAACCTTAGAACCTTTGTATTTATAACAACACTTTTTTAAAAAACAACAAGATTTTTTTTTCTTTTTATTTTATTGATTCATAACAACAAGAACATCATAATAACAAACATTCAAAACTTTGATTCAGTTCTTTTTGTATGGGAAAAGGTCTCCTCATGTACAAATAGTCTGTTTCACAACGGTTACCACAGGCATTGAATCCTTTTACGACCACTTCTTTCAAATAGTCTTTAACACAATCTCCAGCTTTTTCCATCCATTTCCCTTGAAACAAACTGCTTTCGGGTCCCTCTCTTTGGTGAGGCAAGACGTAATTGATTTTCCATTTGAATTCCCGATACTTGGGCTGTCTGGGTCCTAATAAGACCATGTGTTTGCTTCTTTGGCGGTCCGGTAACTTGAATCTCTTATACAGGTAGATTTCATTGAGACCTGTTTGTCCTGGATTCTGATCAAAGAAATCTTGAATACATGTCTCTTTGTTTTTCATCCATTCTCCCTTTAAACTAGTCCCATCAGGTTCTACTATTTTCCAACGATACTCTGAGCTTAAAAATTCCATGACGTGTGCTCTGTCCCTCACTCAGATCAGAACTGATCCTCTTAGGCTTTGGGTGTCTCCTTTTTATATAGAGGGATGTATCTATTTTTAGATTCCGGGACTTGGTGAATTCGTCTTCTTGACCGTAGGGGTATGATGTATCATGGTAGGATTAGGCATGATGTAACCCACCGAAGAACTCGCACACACCATCCAATATTCTCGATTAGAATCGTGTAAAGCTAACATGACCACACTGGTGATGATGAGGGAAATACAAATGAATAATTGGGCAAAATACACAATTTCTTCTCGAGGAATATTCTCTCCACAACATTTCCAATGAGGTGTTATTGAATGAGATCCGTTTGGGGAATCCATGAATCGAAACTAGGGGGATATCCTTTCCACCGGACTTTGACTTCTTGAATGATTTTTTTCCCGACTCGTCGCTTTTTATACCCCAAGATTTCCTCTACTTCGTACACGTCGTCTTTTTTAATGATCTGTTGTAATTCTTTCTCGTAAAATGTCCCTTCTAATTCCTCCTGGTTATAATCTTGTACTCGATACACGTAAGGATACCGACCGGGGACTCGTTGGGCAATGGTAAATATTTCCGTGGTCCAGTTCGGTAAATATCCTTTTTCAAAAGTGCGTTTGGCTTTACTGATGCGCACTTTATCTCCTGTTTTAAACTTGGGGGGTTTCTTGGTTTTAGGTGATGATTCTTCCCCATATAAAGTTTTCCAGACTTTTAACACATTCGAGGGATTCACTTGAGCTGGAGCTCTTTGGATACTGCGATGATACGTATGATTGAGCATACACTAAATCCGGTAAGACCTCTAAATACCGTCTGGTCTTATTCCGAGTGAAATACCGCCACATGCGTGCTTTGAGGGTTCTTTGAAATCGTTCCACGATACTGGCTTTGGTGTCCGTATTGCGTGTGGTAAAGAAATGAATGGATTTAAATGCCTGTAAGAATTCTCGATTGGTAAATTCTTTGCCTTGATCCGATTGAATGCGGACGGGACGTCGATCGTCTTGTCGGAAAATCTCTTGTAATCCTCGAATCATTTCTTTTCCCGTTTTCTGTTTTAAAGGCACCACCCAAGCATATTAAGATAAGACGTCAATGGCACACAATAAAAAAGTATAGCCGTCATTATGTTTCTTTAAACTGGACACATCGGCTAAATCTAATTGCCATTGTTCGTCCATATCCGTCACTCTGGTCTGTTGTCTCCGGAATTTTCGATGAATGGGTTTATGTAAGGTATAAGTATCTTGCTCTTTTAACCATTCTCGTATGGTGTTTAAGGAAATCTTATGTCCTAGACTTTTGACCTGACGATACAAAGTCTGTATGCCTCCATACCCTCTCTTGGGATCGTAATAAATCTCTGTTAAAATGTCCCCCACTTCCTTCTTCTTCTTCTTCTTCATGTCTTAGGCAAAGGAAGCCAATTTTCCTCGATTTGTTGTAATCTCTTTTGAAATGGATCTGTTCTGGCTTTCTTTTTCTTCTGGAGGGCCTCCTCTAATCTTAAAATAGGGGAAGGCTTGGATTTTATAGATCGTCTAATAGGGGTCAAAAAAGAGGAAGCATCATGAAATCCGCTCTCATCCTCTTCGTCGTCCTCGTCACTCAAAACCCCTTTAGGAGTACTGATTTTTCCTGGTTTCTGCATGGCTTTTGATAAGGTCTCGATTTTGCAAGTAAACCATGGGAGTACGGGTCTCTTTTAAAGCTTGAGCAAATTCTTCTATTCCTTTAGGCACCGGTTGACTTTTGAGAGGTTTAGATCTCATACTATCAGCCATTAAATCCACAATGTTAGAATCGGGCACTTTTTGACCTCGATAACTGATTTCTCCGTCTTTATCCCAAGTCAAGACTTTGGTTTTCTTTAAATGATTTAATAATAATTCAGCTTTTCTTTGCATGGGCTTATTCACGCTTTGAATGATTTGTTGATCGATCTCGGGATCTGGAGCTGCTGCTGCTACTGCTGGAGCTGCTGCTGCTGCGGGGGCTGGGGCTAAGGGTGCAGGGTTTTTTTTCCCTGGCTCTCTCGCTTGTTGTAAATAATTCCTATACCGATGAAGTTCTTGACCGTATAAAGCCACTTTTTCTTCTGGAGTTAAATCATCACGTCTGGTAATCTGGTCCAATTCTTGACCTATACTCAGCGTAGATTGAAATTCCGGAGGTTTGGGGAGTTTTCCTTTGAGTTCATTCAACAGAACTTCAGGTACTAACACCATTTTACGACTCATTTTAGAAGGTTCAACAGTAAAGGAGCGGCTGCTGCGAATAAAAAAGGAAAAATACCTCCTTTTTGTTGTACTAATAAAGCTCTTCGTCTCTGGATGGATTGAGGTTGAACCAGTCTCCTTAAGATGTGTTTCTTAGGAGCTAGTTTTCGTTTCTGAGCCGAATGGAGAGGTAACACTCCTTTTAATAGGTTGTAGACGATCTCACAAATTTTCAGACTACAGTCTCCAGAACAGGCTAATTGTATTCGGCGCGTCGGCGCACCAGCGCGTCCATCTCATCCCAATATCACACAAGTATTTTCTCCCTGCATTAAAACACTCAAATGACAGCGATTTTATTTATAATTTAAGCATTATCGACTATATTCAAGTTGACACCCCGAGCCCGATTGTATTTTTTTGGTTAGGTGGATCCAGAAAATTTTCTTTAGGAGGTGGTGGCTCAAATCGGAAGGGGAAAAGGATTTGAGACAAAGCCTTAGTAATTTTACTATGTCAATTTAAAAAAAATAGAATTTTCCAGGGATCCGGGTCCCCTTTGATCCATGCATGTCTAACCACGATTTATGCAAGTGTAATCCGAAATTTACTGCATTTTTTTAGTTGACCTATCTCTCTTTTCTCTCAATCTCTACATACATATTACATATTAATAGTTATATCTCTAAATTCTAAGTATAGCATTAAAAAATATTTAGTGCTTTTGTTTTTATAAATGAACTTTATGCATAACACATAGGTATCGGAATGGGGGGGGGGCTTATAAAGATGGACATCATGTAGGTATTCAACATTGGGGCGTAGGTTCATTTAGTCCCTCCCTCCCCCAACTCTCATCAGGCAAGGCAGTGTAGTCCTAGAAGAAGGGTAAGTGGTAGTGTAAGTGGTAATGTTTGAAAGAAAAAAATGGTACTGAAAGAAGTCCCCCCCCCCCTCATAAATAGGATTTTCTTGTTTGGACAATAGACACATTTAACGGTTTTTTTTTTTTGGGGGGGGGGGGTTGCTTGCTAAGATTTTTCAGGTTCTAAATTTTTTTTTTCTTTCACTTACCCCCCCCCCCCCCAATTTCAATTTGATTCCGACGCCAATGTAACAAATTAAATTTACCAGTATTACATTATGACCCTATACTCTAGAGTTTAGCCTCCTTTTAAAGACTTGATTTTCATGGCAGTAAGCTACCATACATTGGTATACGTGTTTGAACAAGATGCCTTGTTACTTTTAAAAATAATACTACTAAAGATTAACTTGTTAGGTCACCTGAGTAAACTCAGGTGACCTATTGGCATCTGTTTTCGTCCGTCGTCGTGCGTCGTGCGTCGTCCGTTAACATTTGAACATTTTCAGCTTCTTCTCTGCAACTACTGAACCAATTTCAACCAAATTAGGCACAGAGCATCTATGGGTGAAGGGGAACAAAATTTGTGAATTTCATGATCCCTGCCCCCCTGGGGCCTGAGGGGTGGGGCCAAAACCACTAAAATTAATGCAATCTTTAAAAATCTTCTTCTTTACTCCTGGACATCAAGCAGTCAAACTGTTTGCATGATTGTAATCAGCAATGAGTCGTCTACCAAAATTGTGAAATTCATGGCCCTGGGGTCAGGGGTTCTAGTGCTAGGGCGGGGCTAAATAAGTAGGTAGTGAAAATGCATTATTTCTTTGAAAATCTTCTTCTCTGCTCCTGGGTATTAAATAAACCAACTAAGTACATAGTTATGATGGGCAAGAGTGCCTCTACCAAAATTGTGAATTTTATGGCCCCAGGGTCAGGGCTTCTGGTGTTAGGGCGGGGCTCTATTGATTGTATAGTGAAAATGCATTATTTCTTTGAAAATCTTCTTCTCTGCTCCTGGGTATTAAATAAACCAACTAAGTACATAGTTATGATGGGCAAGAGTGCCTCTACCAAAATTGTGAATTTTATGGCCCCAGGGTCAGGGGTTCTGGTGTTAGGGCGGGGCTCTATTGATTGTATAGTGAAAATACAAGAATTCTTTGTAAAATCTTCTTCTCTGCTCCTGGGTATTAAATAAACTAACGAAGTACATAGTTATGATGATCAAGAGTGCCTCTACCAATATTGTGAATTTTATGGCCCCAGGGTCAGGGGTTCTGGTGTTAGGGCGGGGCTTTAATGATTATATATAGTGAAATGCATGAATTCTTTGAACATATCTTATCCTTTGCTTTTGGTTAACTATACTAATGATCTAATTACATATTTAAGGCCAGGATTTATTTCATTTTCAGTTTTACAAACCCTACGCTCAAGGTTTTGAATTTTCAGGAAAAAAATAAAACAATTTGTTATTGTTATCTGTTTTTCGTCCGTCATCGATCGTGTGTTGTCCATTAACATTTAAACATTTTCAGCTAATATTTATTCTTCTCTGCAACAGCTCAACCAATTTCAATCAATTTTGGTATGAAGCATTTATGGGTGAAGAGGAACAAAAATGTTGAATTTTATGATACCTGCCCCCCTGGGGCCCGAGGGGTGGGGCCAAACCACTAAATTTAATGCAATCTTTAAAAATCTTCTTCTCTACTCCTGGACATCAAGCATTCAAACTGTTTATATACCTGTAATCCGCATTGAGCCCTCTACCAAATTTGTGAAATTTATGGCCCCTGGACTCAGTGTTTAGGCTCTAGGGTGGGGTCAAGGTTGGCTGTTTGAATGTTGAAAATGCATAATTTATTATAACTTTTCCTTCATTTACTCCCAAATTTCAAGAAGGGTATATATTTTATGATTATATTGAAAAATTAGTTCTCTAAAAAATTTGTAAAATTTATGTCCCCTTAAGGTTCAGGGTTCCATCATGTCCCAGGATTGGGCTAATTGAAATTTAAACTTTGTCATAAATGAAAATGTAATTAAAAAAAAAAATGATGTTTCTATATTGTGATCTGAAAGCAATAAAATGTTGGCATGAATAGCCTTCAACACTGTGGAATGTATGACTCCTCGGTTTTGGGTCCAGGCCTCAGGGCAAATATATATGCACTGTTTTTGGATTTTGAAGAAGCATTTTCGTCAAAATGGAGATTAAATTATATTTAATAAATGTTTATGTGATGTTTTATGTTTTTGAACAATATATTTTATTCATTCACGGAAGGAAAAAAAACCCAATAGGCCTATATTTTTAATATTTTTAATTCGACAGATTGACCCAATCAACCCTGTGTTTAGGCCTAACATTAGAAGAGTGTTGGTAAAATGGGTAGGCAAACCCGAACCGGAGCAAATAAAATAACCGGGTCTGGCAGCGATTTTTACAAATTTTCTCTCTTAATACTTCGTCAATTGTGGAACTAATATTATCAAATTTTGTTTGTTATACGTTTATTTGTATTTGCTACATATAAAATTTGGAAAATGATAAATTGCGGTCAGCCCCGGTTTTTAATTTTACCCCAGCCGTTGTTTGCCAACCCATTTTACCAACACTCCACGCATGCGTAAAAGCGATCGTCTGGAGAAATCTTCGAAGACTTGCTCCTTCAGTGTCCTGCTGAATATTTA